GTATTTAAATGTTTGAACACACATATAGTATAATATAGAACTGAAACTGAAAAATCAGACAAAGCACAGTTGATCAGAGCAACACGATTTATTTTGAAAGGTTCAACCGGAACAAGTATTATTTTCCGGTTACATTCTGCTGTTGAACACCAGTTTTCTTCTTCCATATTAAAAAAAGTGACCCGCAAGTTTCAGTCCACATTCCCACCATTAAAWATGCCTTTTATCGACCTCCAGACGAATCTTCCGTCCGGCTCGTTTTCTGAGGACTTCCTGAAGCGGTTCTGTTCGGCCGCGGCGGCGGCTCTGGGCAAACCGGAGGACGTGAGTTACTCGTTAMACCGACACATCTACAACACCGTTAGGTGTCACCTTACACCTTTTCGGCACGCACACGTGCGTGTTGGTGTTCAAAGTTCAAACGTATCGACGTGCCTTTTACATCCACAAGCCGGCGACCTTCAACCGACAAGAGCTGTCGCGTTGTGTGCCGTAAAGTGCTGCCCTCTGCCGTAAATCAGCGTTAACATCCTGGAAACGATAAAACAAAAAAGTAAAACAGAGTTAGATTTAAATGTTTTAAATAATTCAATAAACCACAAGTTCACAATTTTTTTTATTATTGCGTAATTTATTTTGACAATTTTACATGTTTTTGTGTTTATATAGATTTAGCTTGTTTTGTGACACTATAAACTTAAATTTGAATAAATGTTAGTTTTAATTTGCTTCTAAAGGTTTGATAAAGTTCACGTTATTAAACTGTGAAATCACTGATATAATCTCAGTTTTGCAGTTTTGCACTCAGCACGGTTTGTCCTAACACAGTTTCCGTAGTTGTAGTTTTATTTTTCGTAGTTGTAGTTAAAACACAAAATCTGTTTATTTTATTCTTAGGCATATTTTGTTTGTTGAACCTTTTATTGATTTAAATATAATTTAATATTTAATGATATCAGCTCATGACTCTCTTAAATGATGACTTTAAAACGGTTAATTTGCCCATAAATATCTGATGCTAATCGTGTTAGCTTTTCTATGGCGTTTTCAATGTTAGATTAGCATCTATGCTAATTTTCGAATATTAGCATGTGATTAATGAGTTTATTGACATTTGTTAATATATGTATTGTTTATTAGGCACGGGGTTATAGAAACAAGTGTTTATTTATGTATTTATGTGATTAAAGACATTGAATTTGTATTTTTTCTTAGTATTTCCTTAATAATCGGGATATATTGTTAATTGTAATCAAATCGTAAGAAATAAAAAAATCGAGCTGGACTCTTGTGACCCGCCTCCTCGGTTCTGTTCGTCTTCCAGAGGATGAACCTGGTGGTGAGTCCCGGGCTGCCCATGCTGATGGCTGGTTCCTGCTCGCCGTGTGTGCTGGTCTCCGTGTCGGCCATCGCAGTGACCGACACCGCCGAGAAGAACAAGGAGCACAGCGCCAAGATCTTCCAGTTCCTGACCAAAGAGCTGGGTCTGACCGAGGACAGGTGAGGCCCGGTTCTGCTGACTGGAAGTGACCGGGTTGACTGATGGATTGATGGTTCTGCTGTGGTTTGTTTTTACAGGATTGTGATCCAGTTCCACGCCCTGCAGCCTCACCAGGTGGGGAAGAAAGGAACCGTCATGAGCTTCCTGTGAAGAAGTCCTTGTTCTGAAAACAAAAGTTCTGTTTGTGTTTCTGAAATGTTTTTATTAATGAAGACCAACGTGAAGCAAATCTGATTTATTCTTTTTAAAGTGGAAATAACAGTTTTCAGGACTCAGAGTCGCTCCGAGTTCTGAGGAGGTTCTGGTCTCCTGATCCTTCAGGACCTCCTGATGAAGGTTTTCCTCTCAGACTTTCAGTCCTCAGACAGTCGAGACGTCCTGATGCTCAGGGACCAAAATAAAAGACCAGTTTTAAAAAAGAAAGATGATCAGTAAAAGAGTGCTGCTGCTGCTGCTGAGATCAAAGGTTGCTGGTTTGATTCCAGGTAGTGTCTTAACTTTAGGTTTAAAAACTGACAAACCTCAGCTGAAGCTGGAGGGAGCAGGACTTYCTACCTGCTGGTCCTCAGGCTCTCGTTCTCGAGCTGAATGTCGCTAAAAGAAATTTAATTTCAAAACAAATTTGACTTTTTTAAAAGAAAAATAAAGTTCATGTGATGTTTGTTAAACACAACTTATAGATTAAATTTAATCATTTAAATTTGTTTTAAATTTGTCAACTTTATCTTAAAATAAAAGTTTTTTTATATAATTCATTTTAAACAATTTACCCAGATCTATGAGTTAAATTTACTCAGCTTTAAGCAAGAGCTGAAACTATCAAAACAATAGCTAAACGTAGCTAAAAGAAGCAAAACATTAGCAAAAAGCAGCCAAAATGAATTAAAAACATAAAAAGTTGATGAAAACTAAAGCTCAAACAAAGAAAATAGCTAAAAGAAAAACTAGTTAAAGAAGATGATAGCTATATCTAGCAAAACAGCTAAAAGCACTTAAATATGAGCTAAAAGTAGATAATCCATAGCTAATAGTAGCACAATGATAGCAAAACTTTTAGAGTAGCTAAAATTTGCAAAAGGCTAAAAACAGCTAAACACCAGCAAAAATAATCATCTAAAAGCTTCCAAATAAAGTAGTGTAAAAGCCATGTTTCAAATGAGCCGAACTTTTATTCGAGCAGCTAAAATGGTTCAAAGTTTGCAGAAAAGTTCAAATAAAAAACAGTATTTGTGGTGTAAAAGTCGAGTCAACACAATAAACGCTCTGCAAAGTCGTAGCTGATTAATAGTTAACATTAATTCATCACAGATGGGGCAGAGAGTTAACTGTTGATCCTAAAGGTCAAAGGTCAAACCGAGCTGAGTGCTTTGGACTTGTCTCCTCTGCAATCAAACACATTTTAAACTGAAAAATATGCATTAAATTTGTGGTTTTATGATTTTTTTAATGAACACCTGCAGCTGAAGAGATTAATTTTAAATGAAAAAGCCACAGGAAGCTCCAAACAAAACATTTCAGAAGAAAAAAACCGTTTAACTTTATAACTTTATCGGTGCAGTTACAGATTCCGGACAGCAGGGGGCGCAGTTTGTCTGCTTTTAATGAAATCGGCTGATAACGGTTCTTCTGCAAAGTTTAGGTTGGAGCTTCCTGTGGGGTTTTCTTAAGTTTGGAACAGGAAAGGTAACGCCTCACTTGCTCTGCAGAGACACGCAGTTTTGCACTTTTTCTCCCCACAACTTCAGAAGAAGTGGTTCGTCAGAAAACGAAGAAGAAGAAGAAGAAGAGATGTCGGTAGAACTTTATCTGGACCTTTTTTCGCAGCCATGCCGCTCCGTTTACATTTTCGCCAAGAAAAACAACATTCCCTTCGAGTTTAAGAAAGTCTCCCTGTTCCACGGTGAGTTTACTGTCGATTAAAAAAAAATACTTTTATTTTGAAAGGCAGTGAACATAAACGCTTTGGTGAAATTTAAATTATATAAAAAAGAAGCAAATACAGTGTGCATTATTTAGATATACTTTTTTACGTGCTTTATAAAAAACATACATGTTTGTAGTGTTTTTTAATTGTCAATAAAACTCGTTTAAGAAGAATAGAGTTTTAAATCACGAGTTAGACCTCCTGCGCGTCTGGATGTTAGCTTTAAACAAGCAAATTTATTGATTTAATTAGTTATTATTAACTATTAAAAGTTCCACAACTTAATACGAAGCTCCACTGAGCTCATTTTAGTACAAATATAAAGTTAAGTTGCGATAAAGGCGATGTTTAAATGTTGCATTCACGTGTTGTCGTAAATCCCAGCTTCTCTCACATTTTAAACACACAGGTTGTTTTGAATGACTTTTACTCACCTGTAGAGCTTAGCCACCTGTTAGAGTTTCTGGCCCCGCCCACAGGTGTGCTGCTGGTGAGTTTGTCCCCTTTCTAGGCTTCCAACATGGTTCCAACCTGGAGCCAGAAGGTCTGAAGGACATGTTTGTTTAGATGATAAAGTTTGTTTGTTTGTTTGTGTTGTAAGTTGTTCCTCAGCGACAGCTGTCTGTTAAAATAAAGACGAACAAACAAACTTTACTGTTTTAAACCCTGAATTCCTGAAAATGCTCAGATGTTTGTGAGTTTTCTCCAGTTTCCTGTGTGAAGGTGATGTTTCTGTTGGCTTCTCCAGGAGAACATTTTGGAGATGATTTTGGGAAAATCAGCCTGATCAGGAAGGTTCCGGCTCTGCGAGACGGAGACTTCTGCCTGGCAGAGAGGTGACAGTGAAGTAAACAACAACAAGTTGTAAACGTTGTTTGTTTGTCATCACGAGTGGTGTTTTCCCGCTCCGCAGCGTCGCCATCCTCATCTACCTGGCGGAGAAGTTCCGGACTCCGGACTCGTGGTACCCGGCCGACGTGCGGCAGCGAGCTCGAGTCCACGAGTATCTGTCGTGGCAGCACAGCGCCATGCGTTGGCACGGGGTCCGGATCTTCTGGCTCAGGGTCCGTCCCGGCACAGCGTCCCTCTGAGGACAGCAAGTCCTGCAAACTGATGGGTTCTGGTTCTGGTTCTGCAGGTCATGATTCCTGTGGTGCTGGGCGTGGAGGTCCCCCAGGAGAAGATGGACACAGCTCTGGAGGACCTGAACGCCTCGCTGGACCTCTTCCAGGACAAGTTCCTCCAGGACCGGGCCTTCGTGGTCGGAGACCGCATGTCGCTGGCCGACCTGGTGGCCATCGTGGAGATGATGCAGGTCAGCCGAAGACCAAAAACACCACGCTGAACAACAGCTGAAGTTTGTGCAAGGAGCTGAAAGTAGCAGAACAGTAGCTAAAAGATAAATAAGCTAACTGCTAGGGAAAACATGAACAGTAACTAAAAGATAAAATTAGCCTTACAGAAGCTAATAGCTAGAAGTTGCATAACAGAGGCTAAAAGGTGCTGAACAGTGACTAAAAGCTTAAAATTAGAGGCTAATATATAAAAGTTGCATTAGAAGCTAAAAGCTAAAAGTAGCTGAACGGTAACTAAAAGCTAAAAGGCTAATAATAGCTAAAAGTTGTATGAGGCTAAAAGCTAAAAGTAGCTGAACAGTAACTAAAAGCTAAAAGGCTAATAGCTAAAAGTTGTATAAGAGGCTAAAAGCTAATAGTAGCTGAACAGTAACTAAAAGCTAATAGTAGCTGAACAGTAACTAAAAGCTAATAGTAGCTGAACAGTAACTAAAAGCTAATAGTAGCTGAACAGT